AAAGTGCCAGGTCAGAGAAGGCCTCTTTTGCTAAATAAACAGCAAATGGAAGCCAGGAAATACATCCAGAATATACATAGACTTTTGCTCTCTTCATTTGAAGAAGGACAAGAAGTTTGGGACTGTGTAATAATGTTAATGTATGGGAACTCTTCTCCCTCTACACTTTATTAATATCAACATACAGCTGAAAGTAGCAAAATGGCAAAAATATCTGATGATGGGTGAATATCCTGTTCAGTGATTTTTATTCTTTACATGTTTTTTTAATATTGAAACAAAGGCTATGCTAGTTTTTAGCCTAAATTTGGGATCGTATCCATTATGTTCTCCTATTTTCCTTTCTACCTGGAAAGGACTACATCCTTTTTTTCCCAAGCTGATTGTTAATGATGATTGACTCTAGCACTAATCATAGTCTTTGAAACTGAAGTTGACTTAGGACTAAAATATCCCTACTCTGCTGTCAAAATAACATGTTGAAATTCCTTTAAAAACAATAATAAAAAAAACCTTCAGAATAGAATCTGGAGTGATGAACACTGAGGCAGCCTCTCATTGGTTGAGTAAACAACATTTAGAGGCAAATATTCTTTTCCTAGATGTATACATTGAAATTGCTATGAAGAAGTGGTAAGTGTATGCATTGATCCCTATGACATCAGGCATTCAAAGCTGATGCGAAAGCAACCCCAAGCTGTTGTGTGAAGCAGCAGTGAATTGGAAGTCTGCAAAAATAGTACCCCTGAATAAGTTTGTTTGCAAATGAAGTCAGGGCAATGTCTTGCAGTGAGATCTCTTTATCTCTTATCTATCGGCTGTTGAAGGAGAAGCAATTCTGGTATACATGACTTAGACTGCACAACACATTTGTTTTGATTTGGGCTGTCTTTGCAAGTGTTGTTTTAAGGACTAATCTTCCTGAGATTCTTCACACCAAAACTTCTGAACCATTAATACCGTTGGTGTTCATCAAACCCAAAATGGACCAGCTAGGTGACTTGGGGCCCCTCTGCCTTTGTCATTCTAATGGGGTGGCAAAAAGTAACCTCAATGTGTCTCTGGTAGGTTCACTGAATCATGTTGCATATGCCTGGGGTTGTAACCAGACAGTGCAATCAGTAGGTTTGGGCTGGCTGCATTCAGATAGCACTGACTAAATATGCCCCTGCCGACTACTGCTAGTTTCAGTAAAGGTCTTGTAGGCTGTATGGACTAGGACACAGTCTAGATGCTTAAAAACTCTTCTCAGTAGTATTGGTTTCCTTTCTAGCAAGGCTCGGTAAAGCTTTTTTTTTTTCCATTCTGGGGCTAAGTTCAGTCAATTCTAGAGGAAGGGGGTAGGGTGTCACTCGGCACCGGAAAAGATGTTTATCTGCAAGTTTTGAGTTTTATTTTTCTCTCCTCTTTGAGGCGCCTAGCAAATAAAAATTCTTATCTATGAATATTCCAAATACAACAACAATAAAAATAATGGTTACTTGTTACTGTATTTGGACAGTTAAGTGGTTTATCTGACATTTGGTTCTTCCTCCTTACGGCAGCCACAGAGCACATTCATAATGCACCAGTCTGCTTCCTATGTCTCTGTGCCCCAAGAAAGAGTTTGTTAAATGTTTAGTTTTATAAAAAAACATTGTTACTGCTACCATAGCCACAGGAGAGGCTAGGTTCAAGTACAGGTAATCCTAGACTTACAACAGTTTTATTTAGTGACTGTTCAAAGTTACAATGGCATGGAAAAAAGTGACTTACGACCACTTCTCACACATACGACCGTTGCAGCATCCCCGTGGTCACATGACCAAAATTCAGATGCTTAGCAACTGGTTCGCATTTATGACGGTTGCAGGGTCCTGGGGTCGTGTGATCAGCTTTTGCAACCTTCTGACAAGCAAGTGGGGAATCACGTGCCAACCATGTTACTAACTTAACAAATGCAACAATTCACTTAACGGTGGCAAGAAAAGTCGTAAAATGGGGCAAATTCACTTAACAAAGGTTTTACTTAGCATAAATTTTGGGCTTAACTAGCGGTCATAATTTGAGGACTACCTGTACAGTTAGCGTTCAGAGAGGAAGACAATGTTGACTCCAATGCTCAGCTCTGAAAACCACAGAAACAGTTTTTAAATCTATCTCCTCCTCTTATAAAGAGAGGAGTGCAAGCAGTATTCAGCTGAATATCTTCATGGATTAAAATGTCATTATGCAAAGGCTCTTGTTTCTTTGCTTCTATTGACAGCTTATCCTTGTTTCTCTGTCATGTGCTGGGAAATGTGACTTCATTTATTTTCCATTGGGCCATCCATAATCCTTGAGTGCAATTGCAACATCTCATTTTTATGCTTCCTTGATTATTTAAAAAAAGCATGACTTAGTGGAAAAATCCTGACCCCTTCTATCTCTGCAGCTGTTACAGATAAGATTCTTCAAGCTATTTAAATCACACACACAAACATATATATTTGGGGGCTGTTTATTTAAAGAAATTATTTATTCCTTACTTTAAAATGGGATAGGTCAGCATATTTTCAAAAAGGCTATTCCACTTTGACCTAATGTGCTTACCATAACAAAGAAGGTTTGATGCTATTTTGTCCTGTGCTGCTGTTCATTGTAGATAAAGGAGGTATGTTGTTCCCCTACTGAGGATGCATATTGGCTTATCCAAATTATGAACTTCGGGCATGGCTGCAGCTCATCTCTTCCCTCAAAGGCACCTGATTCTGTTGGTTGAGGATAATGGGAATTGTAGTGCTGAACAATTTAGAAATGCTCTGCTGAGGAAAGCAACTTTTAATAAATGCCAACATTTCCCCCCTCTTGAATGGAGATACAAACTTGATGCTTTATATACAACCTGTAGAATCCATACAGGGCCCATTTGGTCATCTGATGTGTTTTAATGGTGAGATGGAAACTCCAACTTAGTTTATAAAATACCTAGAATGGAATAGATCAGACATTAATATTGCAGTTATTTTCATATTAGTTTTACTAGATATTAGTGTGATCTGAAGACTGTTTTGAGAAATACCTAGCATAGTAGTTGAATATTTAAATAATATTCAGATTTGTTGAAATTCAGCTCTCAGTATCTCTAGATCAAATACATGTGCTGTCTTGTGTCTAAAACATCTGGGGACACCAGGGTGGCAAAAGCTGACTAAGGAAATGATATCTGCTGAGTATCTTCAAAGAGCTCAGACAGTGGGGAAATGGAATTGTCAAAATGCTGGTTTGCCAACAGTAACATCTGGCAGTACTAGCCAGGCCAGAGTAAAATGGCAGGTTACTTAATGGCTGAAACTATATTTGTGTATGATCTGATGTTGGCAAGAACCCAGTGGACTATCAGGAATAGAGATGAACAACCCTTCCAAGAGGAGAATTTGAATCATAATATAGTGGGTTGATTGATGATAATGATATTCAGTTAGTCAAGCATTGCCATAATTCATAAATTATGGCTGACCCAGCCCTAGCTCCAGATCTGAACTATATATAATGATGTTTCAGGAAGTTGATGGGCAGGACATCTGTTGCATTTTGGATCCTTTGTACGCTATAATCACATTTGATATTTATTTATTTATAGACATTAGAATAACTTGAAGATCAGTTTTCTGAATGTCCTTTGTGTACAAAATGCACAAAGAGCCTTCCTTATTTAACCATTTGTATGGTCAATATTTCACAAATGCAACAGGTGAGAATAAACATTTTTTTTAAAAAAAAATCTATTAACAATCAAGTGTAAAGTTCATGAGGTCCAAAAAAAAGTCCCTTCTATTTTGCCTATCAAATAGCAGACTAATAACCCACCAGACTTGAGGAAAAACAAAACCTTTGGCACCTTGGGGAAGTCTGACAGGATCAGGATTGTCTAGACTTTGAGAGGAATGTTTTTTTTTTCCATGGGGGCAGGTGCTATGATTGAGAAGGCATATCGCCTATATCCTGCTACTATAGGTGGCATTGCTCCGTAGAAGGGAACCTACCCATCCTATTGGGTCTAGTCAAATGAGCAAAGGCAAGCACTCCCCATAAATAACCTATGCTATCATGTAGGGATTCATAAGTAATCAGAACCTTAGATTGCATCTAGAACCCTCCCTGTAAGCAAATGCAGTTCATGGAATGGGGATATTACATGAACACATCATGACATGCTTGTCATGATGTGTTCTTGCATCATGGCATTGCAGTTTCCAAATGTTGTTCAAGGCCAGCCTGTACAGCAGGGGTGTTAAACTCGCGACAAAAAGTTGTCGTCACATGATGTATCATAACTTTCCCCCCTTTCACTAAACGGGGGGTGTGGGGATGGCCAGCACGTGACGCATCCGGCCGGCGAGTTTGACACCCTTGCTATAACAGAGTATGTCACTTAAAAAGCCTGAATGTGAAGAATGTCATTGACAGCTTGTAACCTGCCCATAGACTAGAGATAGATCTTGTCCAAACTGTAACCATTGCATGAAAGGTTTTCAGTCAAAGATGCATTGACTTCAGACCAGGCTGTGAAGACTGCATTCCCTTGGGATGTGGTGATCTTTTGACTGACGTTAGTGCCAAAATGGATAAAATGATCTCCTTTTACCTGCCAGCCAACTAGTAAATGCAAGGAAAGAGACAAACTAATGAGAACCTCTGGCTCCCTAGACATTGCCGCTAGCATTCCTTACCAGTATTCATGCCTGCTGCTTGAAGTTGTAGATCAATAACATCTGGAGGGCTTTAAAATGATCGCTTATGGAAAGCAACAAAAAAATGTCTGAGAATCTCAGCTGCTTATTATGCTCTAAATCTTACAATAAGGGATCATATCAGTTTAATTATAATAATATAGATTTTGGATATGAATGGGCCTAAGTTTAAAACATTTTTCAACTTTGAAGTTTAGAGGGGGCTACTTGGATAGCTGTAAATAAATGAAAATCTACTGAAAATACATTGGATTGGAGACATTGATGATGATTAATCTCTTATTTCAGATTTTCCCTGACCCTTCGGATTTTGATCGTTATTGTAAGCTGAAGCACCGCCTCCCTTCCATTGTGGTGGAGCCAACAGAAGGAGATGTAGAGAGTGGAGAATTAAGATGGCCACCTGAGGAGTTCTTGGTTCAGGAAGAAGAGGAACAGAACTGTGATGAAGCAAAGAAAGAGAGCAAGGAGCAGTAAAAGCACCGAAGATCTTCTGTTCTACTCAGGATGTTAAGTCATCTTGAGGGAGAGAGAACAGCTTTCTGAAGGGTCTTTTCTACAAAAGACATTCAATTTTGCACCTGCAAGATCTTAGTTTTTTTTCATATTCTCTATTGAGAACTGAAGCGCTTGATGTGACAATCTCCAGCTAAAACTAAGAAAGTTTGGGCAGGCAAAGCAAGCCAAAAATGATTGCCCTTCTCACGATCATTGTTGAATTCTGTGGTGGTTGCCTGGGGCAGCCAGGAAATTAGAGGGCGCTTTGGTGGAGGAATAGGCCAGCAGGAAGCATGCTTCTTCTGAAGTGTGTGGTATCAGAAGAAATAACTGCAAGTGTAAATGCAGCTAAGTTCTGTAAGGGACTGCCTCTGGCTAAAAATGCATGAGAATAGTGTTCATCTCTCAAAACCTTGCCTTCTCATAGTGTTTTTTCTGGTTTTATGTGTGCATGTGTTTAGAGGCTGGAAGACAAGCCACTGAAATGCTCCTATGACACGTTAGGCAGTCTTTCTGCAGAACAATATAGAGGAGCCATGGGTCAATAACTAGGTTGGCCTTCTGCAGCCTAGTGTCCTCTTAAAGTCACACCATCTTTGTCAGGCTGCAGGGTCTGGCATTGGCTTGCTCACCTGTTGCACATAAACTATATTTTTTTGTCTTTTCCTTTCTTGACACCTCTTTAAGCATGCATTTTAACATCGCAGTGAATAGCTTTGTATGGCCATTGTGCTGTTGACTGTAGAAATGGCCTTTACTACTTGTTCTGCAGTTATCTTGTTTAGGCTGTAAAAGGTCACATTTTGTTTTGTTTGGGAGGTGGAATTGGAAGAAATGCTTTTTCAGAAAGGAGAATTTGACATGGAAAAAAGTATATTTTTTTTCCTGCTACCGAAGCTGCTGTTTAACTTTCTCTGTTAGCAATGCATTGGTTGCTGTGGAATACGGCTTTTTCATCAGGACTGATTTATGATTTAGTCATGCGTTAAATGCTGGATGAAGGGCTCATGATTATAGTATAAGACCAACCAAGGCTGTTAACTAGGAAGACTTTAAGAGAATTTAAAAGCAGGATGGCGAAAGCAGGGCTTATCTTCAAAAACAAAAGGTATTACAGCATCTCAGTATTGTAGAAAAGATAACTTTTTTGAACCAAGGATTTTTTTTAATTGACTTACCTTGTTCACAGGTTCTAAATTCCCCATTATAATCTCATTCCTCATGTCCCATATATCTCTCTTCCGAGAAGGCAAACAAATAATTGGATAAGCTAAATTGGCAGCCTCAAGTTCAAAAGAAAAACAGTGTCTGACTTCTTGGCAGGAAGTTCCACAAAGTTGAAATTTCAAGTACGACTTTCAGATATTAAAAGCCAATGATTCCATATTAATTTTGCAGAAGCTAAAACTTTGTAATGTATAAGCATTATAGCCTTAACAAGATAGTCAAAAATAATCCTTAGTTTCCCATGATCTTTTCCATTCCTTTCCTACTTCGTTGGAACTCTATATATGTGCTATATATAAAAGACACACGCATACACACACGTACACTTATTTTTGATACCTCATGAGTAGTAAAATTGCTGGTAATGGATTAGAGTTGCTTGTTGAAATCAGCAGGGTTACTTTTTTCAGTCTCGTCTCGCATGTGTTTTCCACATAATGGCAATAACTTAACAGCTGTGAATCATTGTTACATGTGGATGTGAGATTGTAGGGATGTAGTTGGGTGTTCTTGTGTGTATGATTTTCAGCCAAGAACTTGTAAAACACATATACTACCTGTCTTGGTGGATATTTTGGCATCACTGAAATTTGTCTTGCACCTTGCCTTGTCAAGGTTGCTTTAAAATGGATGGATCCAGGTGTTATTTTTGTATCCTTGAATCTGTTCTTGTCTTGCTGTTCAGTACAATGAGCTTTCACACTTGCACCCAACCTGAATTGCCCAATTTTTTTCCTTCAAAGGTCACTTTTTGTTTCTCCATTTTTGTCCCAGTTTGAAGTTGTCAAATGTTAACCACCCAGACTCAGAAAAACAAAAATCCTTAATGCTTAAGGACAGAGTGTGGTTGTTGTTTGTCTTTGAATATTTGCATATCATTTTTCTGCTTTTTTAAAAGATAGAATTGTTGCTTGTATTTCTGTCACTTCTGAATGTGTCTGAGGAACAAAGCACTCCAGTGGAACTTTTCCTGTTATATTATTACATTCTAGATTTCTGTAAAATTCTTTTTTGAGCCTCAGGGAAAAAGCTAGCATTTTTTTCAAACTACTTTTGTCACTGTGACAGTTGTAAATAAAGTTTGAAAATGCTTTCCAAATTCTTAAGAGGTGTCCTATTTATTTACGTTATTTAAAGCTTTGGCTTTCCTACAGCCTTTTAAATAAATCAATCTCACACATTTGGATGAAGGTGGAATCATCTCACTGAGAAGAGCAATAGTAGCTTCATTTTATGGCAAAGATGGGGAGAGAAGATCCATTGGTATAGTGACAGCACATTCACTTTCCTCTCTTTCACCAAAGCCAGGAGGATCTGATTATTATTTTTTTTAAAAAATCCTTTTGACTATTCTCTACAATGGAGGTAGTGACAGTGTGCCCACCCTGTGTTGATAAGTAAAGCCATTTCTGTAGACATGTCCCAGGATAATAGGCCTTTGAATCTCATCCCAACACAATATACCTCTGTTGCCTTCCTGCATCTCATGCCGAGCAATTATGCTATACAACTCTTGTGACATGTGAGAAACGTGTGATGGCAGAATGATTGTGGGCTCCTGCCGGAGCAATATTTGCACCGTTTCCTTAGCTAGTTTCCCAGGAGAGTACGAATGCAACCAAAGCTGCACATTAGCATCGTAAATATAAATCCAAATATATAGCAAGCAAGGCATTTCAGGAATAGTTTTAATCTAGAGCAAGCAGATGAAAACATTCGGAAGTGGGGTTAGGGCATCGCCTTGCCATCCTTGAGAGCTGGTTTTAAATAGTAGGGCATCGCCAATTATCCACCAGTTTGGCCCTTGTCAATTTTTCTGCATGTACACACACAAAAAGACATTTCTGCAAATTTCCTTGGCTGGAGGAAAGCCATCTTGTTCTTTCTTACTGAGTATCATCTCAAGGCCCCAAGTCAGGAAGATATTATGAAGCGGAGCTTCACTGCTTTGCACAGAAGGCCCCATAGTTTCCCCTTTTGAGTAGACTCTGAAGTATAAATTAACTCTGCTTGATCCATAGATGAAGTGTGGAACCTAAATGCTGCCCTCTTGGCCTAACCCTAAATGCTGTCCCCAAATGGTGTCTTCAAGTTAAAGCTTTTGGTTAAGATTAAGAATATTATACATGTAGTAGACCATCATTACAAATAAAACTTAACTTGTGAGGGAAACTTGACTCTTAAGTATTTCTAGAAGTAAAATGGGAAGAGGTATTGTTTGTTTTCAGTTAGTTACTAGGAATTGTTGCTACATAATACTGGGTTAACAAAAATTAGCTAGCTAGCTTCTCTTCTCCACCCCATCACAAGGACTTTATATTTTGTGTCAATCTAGCTGATATTTCCAAAGATATTGCATAAAATGTGGGCCTGTAGAAAACAGCAAAACTCCCTCTTCACAACAGTGAAGCCATTTTTCTCACCAAGGAATTGTGGGTCAGTTCCAAGCCTTCTCTGGTATGTTCAATTGCCATTCTCTCCTTCCACCTAACCGCTACTGCAGAAGAGCAGCTGTACACACACACACACACACACACACACACACACACACACGTTATTCTGAATGTAAGAGTATTGAAAACTTATTCCCACGTTCCACAAATACAGATTCTGTAAAATACAAATTATTTACGCTGAGTAGAAAAAGTAAATATGGATGTCTTTTAAAACAAAAACAAAAAAATGATCTCATTAGGGATATATACATTTAATACTTTTTTTCAATGATCAAAAACAAGTTGCAGCTGTAAATATGCCATCTTGATCTTTTTTATTACTAAATGACAGGCAATATTTTGTTAGACCAGGACTAAGTTTTAACATTTTTGGGGAGCTACAAGCTGTAGGAATTTTTAGCTTTTTAGCTGTGATAATGGCTATTTTTAACTCTGATAATGGATATTCTTTATTATTTTATTCGTTTCCCAAGTTAATTGTGATGTTAGCTTTTACCAGTTATGATTAGAGGATACTTTAAAATTGCTCCCAAAAAAGAAGGGATACCCATTCCCTACCTCTGCTACTTGAACCATTTTAATGATCATTTTGAACTTTTATCAGTTTCAAAGATTTTTTTTTTATCTTCAGTAAATCTACCATGTCTGATCTGCAAAAATTCAAAGGACCACCAAATTCAAAGGTATTATATAGGAATATTCCTTAGGTGCCAACTAACGCTACTAGAGTTTTGCAGTCCAAATATGTTTCCCCTAATATTCTAACTCTTTGCATATGATGTTGGAAGAGCAGTTGTCTACAATCATTTTTAAGTATTAAATTTATGACATAAATGAATAATAACATGGGTTTGACTACTTTTACAGGTGTTCAATGATTGAACATATGGAGAACTTGATTTATGTTCATTGGGAAGCTGTATCTATGAACAAATTGATGTGCATAATTAGTAATCAAATCATGAGTGATTGTTTAAATTCCCAGAATAAAACATGCCACAGAATAGGAAAGGCTTAGATACATCTACTCCTCTTTAGTAAGTTCAGCTGGAAAAAAAAAACAATACTCAGAAGTCTTGCTCTTTAAACTCAGAAAACAAAAATCCAAAAGTTGACGATGAAACTTTATTTTCTATGAAATGTTATTTCTGTGGGTCATGAAGAGGAGAGACCAACATAGGAAAGAAAGCAGGGAGGAAAGAAGCCACAAAGGAAGTGTGTACTGCACATTTTACTCTGTAAAACAGACCTCTGAGCTGCAAGCTCACCATGAATGTACCCAGAAACCACCAGCTTCATCTGATAAACACAACTAAGGAAGTGAAGCATGCATAAAGAAGAGGATGTCAAGTGGGGCACGAGAAAATCTCACCAATTCTTTGGCTGTATTTTTTGTACTTCCTCCTTCAGCCAGTACTACTTAATATGTTCTTGCATGCATAGCATTTCCTGCTATTGGTAAGGTTCTTCATGTGTGCAACTTTATTGTTCTCTAAAATTAAATCATTCCTCCCTTCCACAAGTAAATCATATTCCAAGCAGCTTCCTCTGCTTAATGCATGACTTTACAGTGGCCTTTCAAACCTAGGTAGAAGACAGGAAACAATTCAAAAGAACAGTAAGGCAACATTGGTGATTTCCAGATATGCTAGACAACTATTCTCATCATTGTTGTCCACCTTGGCCAGTAGCCACTTGATTGGGAATTGGGATCAAACAGTTCTTGAGGAGGTCATCAAGCTGAAGAAGTGTAAAAATATTTGAAGTCTCCAGTGGGCATGGCAATGCTTCTTCGGACTGAGGCATATCTGGGCTTTCTTTTGTTTGACCACATAATTATTGTATCAGGAGCACATAATTGTTAGAGGTGGCTTTTGCTCTGGTGGAATTGCCCCACTCCTAATCTGATGCCCTAGGGAGTGGGTTACTGATCAGTAATGGGATTCAAATTTTTTGACTACCGGTTCTGTGGGCGTGGCTTGGTGGGCATGGCAGGGGAAGGGTACTGTACAATCTCCAGTCAGAGGAGGTATTTGCCAGTTCTCCGAACTACTCAAAATTTCCACTACTGGTTCTCCAGAACTGATCAGAACCTGCTGAATACCATCTCTGTTACTAATTGATAGAGTAAAAACACTACTGTAATATATAGTTTGTGGGGATAGAGGCTTACATGCCGACAAATATCCCAATTATTTTGGCATCCTATGTTGTAATACCAACATAATTGCTAGTTTGTCTCTGGTTAGTGGGAAGTGTTCATATTTCTCCTGGGCCATGGGATGATGATGCATGTCTATCCTATTTCTGCTGGGTTATATATGCTCTGTTTTGGGATATTGGCTTCCCCATTCCTTAGCTGAGGGTCATAGAATTTGCTATCTTTTCTGTCAATATGAAAACCATTGTCTCCCAATGGTTTTAACCTAAGTTGAGCATTGTCTGATTAACTCTTACAGTATAATGATGTCCTAGTGCATTCAAATGGTTGAAAGTAGTATTGAGGTAATTTAATCACTGCACTGGGTTTCTCTGTAGGAGTGGATTTTTTCCATCACAGATTGGATAGTATTACAGTCTTCCTGAGGTGAAACCCAAATCTATGCATTATACACTGCTCAAAAAAAATAAAGGGAACACAAAAATAAGACATCCTAGATCTGAATGAATGAAATATTCTTATTAAATACTTTGTTCATTACATAGTGGAATGTGCTGACAACAAAATCACACAAAAATTATCAATGGAAATCAAATTTAGCAACCCATGGAAGTCTGGATTTGGAGTTACACTCAAAATTAAAGTGGAAAACAACACTACAGGCTGATCCAACTTTGATGTAATGTCCTTAAAACAAGTCAAAATGAGGCTCAGTAGTGTGTGTGGCCTCCACGTGCCTGTATGACCTCCCTACAATGCCTGGGCATGCTCCTGATGAGGTGGCGGATGGTCTCCTGAGGGATCTCCTCCCACACCTGGACTAAAGCATCCCCCAACTCCTGGACAGTCTGTGGTGCAACGTGGTGTTGGTGGATGGAGCGAGACATGATGTCCCAGATGTGCTCAATTGGATTCAGGTCTGAGGAACGGGCGGGCCAGTCCATAGCATCAATGCCTTCATCTTGCAGGAACTGCTGACACACTCCAGCCACTGAGGTCTAGCATTGTCGTGCATTAGGAGGAACCCAGGGCCAACCGCACTAGCATATGGTCTCACAAAAGGTCTGAGGATCTCATCTCACCTAATGGATCTCACCTAATGGCCGTCAGGCTACCTCTGGTGAGCACATGGAGGGCTGTGCGCTCCCCTAAAGAAATACCACCCCACACCATTACTGACCCACTGCCAAACCAGTCATGCTGGAGGATGTTGCAGGCAGCAGAACGTTCTCCACGGTGTCTCCAGACCCTGTTACGTCTGTCACATGCTCAGTGTGAACCTGCTTTCATCTGTGAAGAGCACAGGGCACCAGTGGCGAATTTGCCAATCTTGGTGTTCTCTGGCAAATGCCAAATGTCCTGCACGGTGTTGGGCTGTAAGCACAACCCCCACCTGTGGACGTCGGGCTCTTATACTGCCCTCATGGAGTCTGTTTCTGACCGTTTGAGCAGCCACATGCACATTTGTGGCCCGCTG